GAGAGACTCGGTGTCTCCAGAGGCAGTTGGAACCACCACGACTGCCTCAGCGTTCTTCATCGACTCCTCACAGTCCTCCTGAATTCCGCTTTGATCCTCAGCTTCGACGGGCTCCTCTGATGTGATAGTAGTCATGGGAGGCTCCTTCGGGGAAAGAAGACGACGCCAACTGAAGATGCCATAGACTATTGTCAGAAGGAAGTATGAGGGTAGATTTTGAGTCAGAGGCAGACTAACACCAAATCCAACAAGGTAGTTGCTCGCGATTCCGGTGACGGCAATCAGGGCAGAGAGAAGCTGACCTAAGGCCAGTGGCAAAGTGAGGCGTCGGAGGTGTTGAACGAATCGTGAGGATTTGGGTCGGGAGGGTGATGTGGTTAGAGATGATTGGGAGGGGTCTGCGCTGTCAGGCCGGTCATTCGCACTGCCGGATGCACAACCGGAAATAGTAGAGGCAGCATTACTAGCAACACCGCAACTACCGTTGCTTCTCAAATCTGAAACCGTCTGTGTTCTGATCCGGCGGTTGATATGCGGTGGGTCTCCATCCGCGGCTGCGGTTTGCTTCACCTAGAAAAACAACGAAACAGAAAACCTGACAGGCCTTAATTTAAGTGGTTGGCCCGCTGTTAAATCAGGAGAATATAATGCTGCGGACAAAAGCGTTGGTCATTTCAAGCCGATAGGGCTTTCGTGGCTCCAGATATAGCCAAACAGACAACCCTAAGTCGGTCTTAAAAAATGAGTGAATAATTATGAAGGGCAGTTAAAAGCGGATGTTACGCGGCGGCGGAAAACCACCTGGACAGCTATACACTTGACATTTACTAATTGTAACCTCTGTATCAACTTACTAAGTGGACCTAGTTGTGCAAAGCTCAGTTGTGTCAGGGTGATTCTAATCCACGAGGATAAAAAAACAGAACACAGTCAACGCGTCTGGGATACAAGGCTTTGACCGAGAGTTGCCTTGCGTTTAAGCTCAATCCGGTTAGGTTTCACGTCCAATCTAATGCAACGCTTGGAATAGACTGATTCTGATACATTGAGCGGCCAACTCAGCAGCCTTTCCTAAGTACACCATTTCGAAGTCACCACATGACCAGAGTCAAGCATCATTTCTAAATGATGCCAACTGTTCTCCGATTTGCAACCCAAATGGTGGTCTTCAGGGTCTCTGTTGATGATCGCCACGGATTCTTATGTTTTGCCAAATTTTCGGTGGGCCCAAAAGTCTGCTTGGCAACATTTCGGTGATGCCCTTGTGACTTCTAATGTCCCCTCCTCGTTTCCACCCCGTTGTCCCCGATGAGATGCTTCTGTCTCACCTCCCTGATGCTATATTATTTTTTTTAAGACAAGGAGCCTTTTGAACCACAAACATCACATCCCATCTCATTGCATCATATCATAGCATATCAATCTCACTACCTATTTAATAATTTTTTGTCCTTTATTTTTTTTGGAAATCGGTTGCTCGCAGAACTCTAACACCGATTTAATCTTTTGGAATTTGCTTTCTCACTGCCTCTTTCTCGGTTCACCACATTAACCTAATATTGTTGACTATTATTATATAAGAGGGTCCGTTCTAAATCTGATCTGACTTAATATGTATAAGGTACATTCATATGTATAAGATTCATTCCCGTTGTTATACAGCTGCTTACGCGTAGCTGTGATCACCAACTTTGTATTTATCTTTACCAAATCAGTAAGTTTTAATAAAAGGGCCCCTTGGACCTTTCAACTACAATTTATTATTATTATTATATAAGATGTGCGATATTTGCGGGATGTAGCTGTTGTGCTACCACCTGCATACATATCATAATTAGCAGCTTCCATCTCCACCACCAGTGGGCGTGCTTGGTACAATGCAGGCTTAATCGGTCGCACCAAAACAACTATAGACTGCGCGTGCAACAGCATTCAATAATTTCGTCACTTCTCTGATGATCGCTGCGAGTTTGAATCCGAAACTTTAACACGCAAAATCGGTAGGGATTTTGCCGTCCTATGGCAAAAACTCCCCCACCCAATCGTCTTACGGGAATGAAGGAGTGAGGCACAGCAGGGGCCGTCTAGGTGCCAGCATTGCTGACCGGCTTCCTTGTCCGATGTCCGCTGCTTCAACGTCATGTTACGTTACAGGCAGCTGTTTACGATTCGTCGACCTGAATACCCTTGAGCGACTTCCACGCACGCACAAATTCGCGTCCAGATAACGGCTGCTCAGGGACACTTGAACACGCCACGCCTCGGCTAACGCAGCACGGGTCTCTTTACGCGACAAACACCCTGGGCAATGCAAAACACCAATGGCACACCACTTGGATTTATATCACAATAATGAAAAACCGATGACAACTCCTTCACTCTCACACAGGCCTGACTGGACGCAGTCAACGCTAGAGCCGGCTTCGCCAACGGTCACTGTTACCTGAGACAGCAACTCGCGGTTCTGTGGACAATAAAACTCTTATTCTGGTGCCTTTTACTTACAACTTTGGACAGGAACACGACTAAGCCACCATAGATGTAGTGTTTTAGATGGCGAGAATTCAATTTTCAAGAAATTTCTTGCGTAAAGCATGATGTAGTCAATACATACGCAGAAAATATATGGAAAAATGCGCGTTTCTTAAGTCCTCAGAATACAGAAAGTTCAGAGGAAGAAGATGCGATCACTGGAACAAGAGTTTTATTTGTCTGACGTTTCGGATTCCCTCGGAAATCCTTAATCATAGATGATAATATAGGCATGGTCATGCGCAGATGAGATGGATACATGCATAGTTCCTAGTGGTCGTCTGCGGGCCTAATTGTCACGCAATTATCAGGACCGCATCTGACGGCCGGGCGCAATAACAACTCTGACGACAGCGGGAATAATTGCCACGCAATTACCAGGCCCGCATCTGACGCTGACATGGCAATTGTGGCAATTAGTGAGTCGAACGCGAAGTGTCAGCCAGTACCGCATCAATTAAGACCCAAGCGGTGGCTACAGAAGTGAATAATTATCACAAACACGCGGATGGCCACTAGGAACTATAAATACCGTGCAGCCTGTGCATGTATACACCTCATCTGCGCATGACCATGCCTATGTTATCATCACCTATGATCAAGGATTCCCGAGGAAATCCAAAACGTCAGGCAAATAAAAT